GTGTTCACAAGTAAATCATGTAAAGTAAATCATGGATGGTCTTATTTTATTCATGCAATCAACTGTGCTTTTATAACATTTATATTTGCTTACCTATAATCATGTTACTTCAAGTATTTATTCATTTCTTTTCTTATTCCCTTTCTCTCTATTACTCTTCTCTAACACAAGGCTGGTCCTAACTGCTTTTCTCTAACACCAGTCCCTAACTCATCCCTAACTCTAACTGAAATCCTCTCTAACTCCAAACTGCTCTTTAACTGTCATCCATTCTCTTATATATCCCTAGTCCCACCTTTTCTGTATAGCCATTGGCTCTTGAATCAGGGTTCCATTGTGATGGACAGGAGTGGTTCCTGACCTGTCCGTCACAGGAATGTTAGAACACATGTGATTAGTTTGCCCGGAAGTAAAAGTATTCTGGTATAAGGTAATCAATTGGCTAGAAAAAAATAACAAATCAAAAATTAGATCCAAATGAAACTTTATTATTATTCTAACCATTTACTGAAGGAAATGAAAATTTATCAACTAAAGAATTCGACTCTTATAGGGACAGCGTGGAATGAATGCACCGTGTGCTGGGAAAATGCTCATGACCTCTGTTTGCAAAGATAAATGAATAAAGTATGGCAGTGGTGCTGATGGAAAAATTGACTAATCTGGTTAGTTTGTATAGGGGGGGAAGTTAAACAACATAACTTTATGAAGAGATGGTGCCCTCTGTTGAAATGCAATATTGAAATTTAAAAATAGAGTAAACGAATGGACTACTGGTTAGTTTCAGCAGCGTCAGCTAGACATAAAAATGCAAAAATGAGCCACAGAAGAGACTACGTGAAAAGATAGAGATAATGTAAACATTGTGTGCGTGTGTGTGTGTGTGTGTGTGTGTGTGTAAAGGTACGAGTTTATGAATAATAAAATTACTATTATTGTATTACAACAGGTATTTTTCTGTTGTGCTATTTTGACTGGATTGATAAAAAATGAAGAAAAAAAATTAAAAAAGAGACATTTACACTGATGGACTTCCACTAGAGGGCATAAGGAATCAGGTTCTGGCTAGTGTCAAACTGCATTCAGTATACGGAACAAGTTATCTCATCTTCTTTTCTGTATTTCCTGTCAGTTAATTCAGAGATGGGATTACTAAAATATATTTCTCTCCAAATATCTCATTCTGTGACAGAATAGATAATTAAGACACTCTTGACAATATTGAAGTGTAAAACAGCTTTTTAAAAAAAAATTGTTTGGAAAATGTAATTCATAGTTAAAAACTGCCAGAATTTGATGAAGGTGAAAAGCTATGGTAAAATATGGAAAAATTCCAATCAGCTGCTTGTTGTAAATTTTCTCTCAAACTAATTCTCTCTCTCCCTCCCCCTCTTGTGGAGTGGTTCTCAAACTTGGGTCCCCAGATGGTCTTGGAGTACAACTCCCAGAAATCCCGGCCAGCACAGCTAGTGGGGAAGACTTTTGGGAGTTTTAGTCCAAGAACATCTGGGGACCCCAGTTTGAGAACCACTGCTCTAGTGCATGCAAGAGGGGGCTGTGTCCCTCCAGTGCCAGGTCTTCCTTTTGGATCCTGAGGTGGGTCTTTGGAATCCAGGTGCTGTGGGAGGGTCAGCCTCAAAAAAAAAATCACCTCTGGTGGCATGGAGGGTAGGCAGACTGTGGATGTGCTCCTGGCCAGGGCTTCTGTCACTTCTCCTGACCCTCCTTTCTCTGTTCTGGGACCTGGAAGTGCCTTGGTGCTCTTCTTTCATTCCTCTTGCTCGAGTGGTTCCAACCGGAAGGCAAAGATCGGCACCACTCAAATGTCTGCCTCTGCTTCCTGTTCCACCCTGGATCCTTTTTGGAGTGGGTTGAAAACGCCCCATTTCCCTCAGGGCCATGATCTCTGTGCAGCTGCCTTTGTTTCCACCACTGCCCACCCCACCTCTGTCCTTTCAGCTGTCTTCTCCTCCCTTGCCCAGTCTTCACAGATTTTCTTCACTACCCCACCGGCCCATAGTTTGGGAACCAGGGCTGGTTTCTATAAAATGAATACAGCATATCTGCTCATGCGTCTGTGTGTTTGGAGCACAAACAATTTCACAAATTAATTAATCGTCACCTTCATTTTAGAACTGTAGAGCTAGAAGGGACCCTATGGATCATCAAGTCCCGCTCCTATCAAGAAGGCACCGTGTGGAATGGAACTCCCAGCCTCTGTTTCCACAGCCAGAGACCTAAACCCTGGAGACGCCCAGCAGTTCTCATTTGGGTCATTTGGATAAGCAGTCACTGAAGCTTTGCATCCATTTCCAGTATATTAGGATTTGGGGCAGAAGTACTCCGCCTTTGGTTTCCTTGGTGGAATTCCCAACCCCTTGATCAACAGCCTGGTTGGTGCTCCAGCTTGCTCTGAGCTATCCAGCAAGAAATATAATACATTTGTCATCATTCTAACAATGAGCAAATCCAGCTGATAATTACCTGTTGTTCCTGAGGCCATGGCTGGTCCAGTCTCTACCACCTGTACTGCATCTGCTTCTTGCAGCATCTTAAAGGGACCACTCTTTGTCTTCAAGTCTCTGTACCTGATGGGCTTATAACACGTCCTCAGGATGAGGAACTTCCTTCAGAACTACAGACAAGTCCTGCCTCCCCTGCTATTTCCTAGAAAAGCCAGAGGCAATCTTGCTAAGACCCTCCACCCTTTCTGGCCTTTTAGAGATTAAGATCCTTTTAGAAGCAACTCGTATAACCATTTAGAAACCTGTGTGAAGAAGAACAGCACTCTGAGAAAATGCTACATTGAATCATATTGTATTTTCTGACCTATTGTATTTTTCCATGTATAAGACACCCCCATGTATAAGACGCCCCCCCTTTTCTAACCCCAAATTAAGAAATCTAAGTGGGGCTTAGCAAGTGCAGGGGAAAGCAGGGATCAAAGCCCTGTAGGATCACTTTGATCCCTGTATTCATCTCCACTTATTTTTGTTCTCTCCTTAGCTTACTTCTGTGTATAAGACGACTCTCAATTTTTAGTCTAAAGATTTTAGACAAAAGTAGAGTCTTATACATGGATAAAATATGGTATTTCCTTTAGTTGATCCACTATCTCTTCCTTTCCAATCCAGTATAGTAAGGAAGGATCTCAGGAAATGAGAGAATTGGTCCTGCATGGAACTGTTACAGGAAACAGCATGGCATGTAGGATGCACATTGCCCTTCCTCCAAGAAATTCCTTCCTCTATGAAACTCTGCTGCCATCTTGAAAACAGCATTGGAAAAAAAGAAAGAAAGAAAAGAGAAAAAAGCTGCATTTAATTCTTTTTTAAAAATTCCGTTTATGAAGGTGGATATTTTACTTCTGCACCCATGATTTAAAATGCCAGGAAATTGCCCAATATTGCTGCAATATAGTGTGCCCATGTTGCCAAAAGGGAAAAAAGTGCCTCCTTTTATGAGCCTGCCCAGGTGTTATGATTATCAGAGGAGGCCTTTCTTTAAGTCCCACCACCTTCACAGGTGTGTTTGGTGGGGACACAAGAAAGGGCCTTCTCCATTGCAGCTCCCAGACTCAGGAACTCCCTCCCACTGGAGGTCAGGGTGGCCTCTTTCCTGTCCTTCTGCAAGGAGACAAAGACCTTTGTATTCAGACAGGTTTTCTTTGAGTGACTGTTTAGGAGATAATGGTTTATATTTTGCTACTTCTTGAACTGTTTTTCATAATGCATTTACCTAAATTATCAAATACAATATTATTAATTTGTATCAATATTTGAATAATTTGTTTTTAACTTTTTATATTGTGTTTTTAATGATGTATGCCATTATGGGTCCTTTTAAAGGAGAAAGGCAGGGTAAAAACAAACAAATATAAACTTTACACAGCAAATGGTCTTCAATTTCTTCATGCTCATAACGAATTTGGTAATTATTTCTGAAATCATATGCTTTTATATATGTATATAAAAAGCATATGATTCCTTTTTCCAAAGAGGAACACTGTTACATGCAAACATCTAAGAAAACATAACTCCACTATCATCACTGCTCATAGGAACAGTGAAATTCCCTGCTTTCTCTGTAGTATGTAATCAGAATACTGTTCCTTATGTAACCACAATGAATTATAGATTCACCAGAGAAGAATGTAATGGAAGACCTTGCTTTTAATTAATCATTTGATATTGAGAAATTGCTGCCAACCATTCATTTTGCATTACATAACACAGGACAGATGGCTGCTCCTGGTTTGAGAAATATATATTTGTTCCCCATATTTGGGAAGCTGAATACCAAAACCTCCAAATCTAAAGCTGGCTTCCCCCTTTATTACACCAGAGAAGTTCCTGGCAGATGTGCAGAGCAGGTGAAGTAATAGGCAGGCTAGAGGAGAAATTAAGCCTTACTGCACATTAAAGGGGGGGGGAGAGTACAACATATTACAAGGGGGGTGAAGAGGGAAAGTGAAGGCAAAATTTCAACGCAGGGCACTCATTAAACTTCCAGGAAGATATACAAACATGTGGTCAGTTAAACAACTTTAAACCATTTAAAAAAACTCCCTAGTGTATCTGTCTGTAAAATACATATAATTACCTTTTTAAAAGCTACATTTGAATCAGACTGTTAAGAGTTTATGTGTACAATTAAAGAAAATAATTAACAAACAGCAACAATTAAATTTGGTACGTATACAATTGTTTCCTTCTCTTATTTCCTACTTCTCTTGTCAGTAAAATTAGTGATGAGATTCTCTAAAGTACTAACCAGGAACTTTAGGAACACTGCAAGTGAGAACATTTTGTTGCAATCCTCACTTGTTTACAGTCTACCTTTCTGAACAGAGCTTGGAGATAACTATTTACAAATAACTTGTTACTTACAATGAATTCCTTTTTGCTGTTTGGGTTTGGAGTAGGTTATGATGTCTGGGAAAGGTCCTGGTTCTTCTTAAACAACAACTAGCCCATTGTGTAGAGTGCCAAGCATGTGGAAAAAAATTATTTGCTTTCCTGAACAGTGTTTTGAAATTTCTGTAAGTCAAGGGTCCACTGTATGATGTCTGGGAAAGTTCCTGGTTCTTCTTAAATAACAACTAGCCCGTTGTGTAGAGTGCCAAGCATGTGGAAAACAATTATTTGCTTTCCTGAACAGTTTTGAAATGTTGACTGGAAAGCTTAATGAAATCAAAAATATTTGCTTACAAGAATTTCAAAATAAGGAATGGGAAAGAGGGAAGAGAGCATTGGGAATGTCTTGTAAGCTGTATAATCTGAGGCTCAGAACAATGGAAACAGGAGGAGAGGTTGTTCAATATACCACATACCCACTGAAGGTGACTCTGAAGGCCATGGGTGGGAACTGCATATAAACTACTTCTCTTGCTGTGAAGCTCCACTAGATGAATTCTTTGTGAATCTGTGGGTAGAAGTTCTCTCTCCACTCACCTAACCGTTCCTGTTTTCTTGTTATGTTCTATCACGCACACTTCTTATGTGCGTGATAGAACACCTCAGCTTCTTCATTCCGTTGTGCCTCAGATTTGTCCCCCACATGCAAACAACAATCCACATCAGAATCTCCTCAGGAATGTGCAGCTGTCTAGTTCTGGTTGGACTGCAACTCCCATTGGCTATGCTGAATAGGTTTGGTGTGAACTAAAATTCATCAACATCTGAAGGACCACATGCTTTGCATGCTTACATAGTTACTCGGTTCACACAGTGTAAATGTGCTTCTTTAAGCCGGCTAATTCTGCACCCTTGATCTGCTCCTTGGATTTAATAGGATTCAACCACTTCGGGGTAAAATGGGTGTAATTAAAAGGGTAAACTAGTTCTCCCAACCACCTGAATCAAGTGCATCAAGTGAATAAATGTTCAACGTAATGTGTGAATATGCACTTAAATGTATGAGTGGATAAATCTTCAATCTCTGTATAATATACGTATTTTAAAACATTGATTGAAATTTTATTAGTGTTTGTGCAGGGGTTGTGGGATTTGCAGTGGCTAATTGTGGCTAATTGATGAGGTGCTGGGGCATGCCTTGGTTGTATAATTAGTTGTGTGGCTGGGCTCATGACTGAAATGCACCCCAACGTCTTATCAATTAGCTACAATTAGGCACAGCAAGTCCCACCAAACCTATGTTAGTATAAAGAGGTTCTGGGCCATCATACATAAATAACTATATGGGCACACAGAAGAACAGTCTGTGTAAACATGTACACAGCTCGTATGTATGCTGAATGCAACATGTTAACACTATATTCTCACAGTCATCTGATTGTAGGATGGTATTAGGTGCAAAAAAAAAAAATTCCTTTGCATTGTGACGACAGTGCTTCCTCGATCAGCCGTAAGTCATTCCAGCCAGTGGGAGATCACTGACTAAACGAGAGGATGATCCATTTCTGTTTATGTCTGGCTACATGATCTTGAAAGTGAGAGCAAATAAAATCAGTTTTGTGTATGTGTCACATTTTCCCCAGGATATGAAATGTGTGTGGGTCAAGGATGATAGCTAACAGTCCAGGGCCTAGGACAATTTAATGTATAAACATCCAAATTCATGAGAGACCAACTAGGTAGCAAGATCAAGGTGGTCTTGGACTGAGAACAATAAAGGTCTTAAGAATGTTCTTCAGACAAAAGAGTATAGAATGGTCCAAGGTCCCTTAGAGCAGTGGTCTCCAACCTTGGGCCTCCAGATGTACTTGGACTTCAAGGCCCAGAAATCCTGGCCAGCAGAGGTGGTGGTGAAGGCTTCTGGGAGTTGTAGTCCAAGAACATCTGGAGGCCCAAGGTTGGGGACCACTGCCTTAGAGGGTCTCATGCTGCGACAGTGGTTGAAGAGCAGGCAAGAAGCAAAATCAAAGACAGTCCAAAATCACTTTCAGGATTTCTAAAAAGAGTTGGCTGGCCAGGCAACAATAAAATGCCACAAGCAGTTGTGTAAAACATTGTTCCATCTAACTCCAGAGCCTGGGATTGAAGAGAGTAAGTGCCAGAACCCCATCCATGTTCCACCTATATTGTAGTAGAGGTTTCTGGGAGACATCCTGTACACTGGAACAAAATATTTCAACTTTATGTATTGATTTAATGAATAGATTAATACAATCTGAATTGGCAGAATGGCAGTAATAATTTGAGGAAGGTGTTGACTCAGAGTGTGGGTAGTGTTTTTTTAAATGGGAAATTTCATGTTAAACATTATTAGGAAAGGTTTCAAGCTGAAAGCTGCTGACATTGTAATATTGTTATATATGGGTCTGATCACCACATCTGAGAAAGCGACTGAGGACTTAAAATAGTGACGGGAAATGGAAATGAATGCTCAAGGAGCTGCAGCAAACTCTCTGATGAAGAAAAGTTACATGTGCTGTACAGCTTAGAGAAAAGTAAGATTAGACTTAGAAGGAATGCTTGAAGCAGTAATGTGGGAACCATGGAGGGGAAGGTTCTTTCCCTCTGTTATGGTACTACTATAATTAATGAGAGGAGATGATGATCAGTAAAAAGAAGGAAACACTTTGAAAAACATTTCAAACATTTCCCAGCATTATGAAGTTAAATCATAGAATTATTTCTCACAAGAAGTGTTGGATCATCAACAGGGACAGCTTTAAAAAGCAATTTGATAGATTTCTGCCATCTGGATGGATAGATAGTCCTTCCCATATTGTTCTGAACATTCCTACATTTGCTTGTCAAGTTCAGCTTTTGGGGATCCACTGAGAATATTCTACTGAAGAATACTGTATTGTGGATGTAGCATTTTTACTGAGAAGAGAAGACTCTCTGGAAAAGACCCTGATGTTGGGAAAGTGTGAGGGCAAGAGGAGAAGGGGACGACAGAGGACGAGATGGTTGGACAGTGTCACCGAAGCAACCAACATGAATTTGACCCAACTCTGGGAGGCAGTGGAAGACTGGAGGGACACGACTTAACGACTAAGCAACAGAAGTGCCAAGTACCACTCAATGAGCTCCTGTATCTATTGTACTTTAGAAATATAAGTGGGAAGGTAGATCAATTGATTGATTGATTAAGAGACAGACACAGAAATTTGCTTAAGAATTATATGCCTCCCACCCTAAATTTATCTTCTTTGCACTGCGATCAACTTACTCCACATGAATCAGCCACAGCTCATGTGGTGCCACTTATGGCAGCCATTTTGAACCTGCCTTAATTCCAAGTTGAGAGGCACATGCTGTGGAACTGATCTTGTCACAATTTGCACATTGGACCAGATTGCTACTCGCTCTGCCCTGGTCCTGGAAAACATTAAGTGGTCCAAATCATATTGAATGGAAGTTTGGATGCATGTCAAAATATTTACAGGGTTAGCTCTGGGAGTTTGTTTTACTCTGTGGGCTCAGCCTTACTACCTTCTGGCCTCCTAGCCAAGGTTCAGACTTAGATCATGGTAAATATGTCTGGAGTAAAATAGCTCTGAAATGGTCCAGAGTGAGATTTTGAATCTATCTTGTCTTTGATAAATTCAAGATTAGCGTCATTGGTTTCTATATAACATAAAGCTTCACCTCTTTCTGCATACATATAAATCCACAGGGGCAGCTCATGGACTGGGGCAGCAGGACATCTCATCCCCACCAAAATTTGGGGGGGTGGGGAGGAAACTCCCAATAATCACAAGCTACCTCCCTCCTCATTTCAGCTGGTAGAGACTTGTTTGAAAAGTGAATGTACATTTCTTTTCACCAATGGAAGGGGGGTAGCAATGGATTGGCCTGAATGGTTACTTCGGCTTCAGTTCTATATACCCTTTCCTGGTAAGCACCACTGAAATTGATTCAACTTACTTAGAGGTAGACAAGCATAGAAATACACTCTAATTGACTTTACAGTTTTATTATGCTGCTTAGAAACATCAACACTTTAAGACTCATACAGTACTCTTTTCATGATTATTGCTTTCCAGCTGTGCTACATTTTTATCACAAGTAACACTGTGGTTTGGAGAACTATCTGGCCTTCAGAGGCAGAGGCGATTCTTGCAACACTCTTCTCTGGATCTGGGACAGTGTGCAGAAGTGTCTTCCCTTCTTTCTTGGTCCTTCAGGAAGGCAGGGGTTTCTCACAGACATACAAGGCTTTAGTATTACATTTCAGGTCATTCCACTGACCCACAGAATCCATGGTGGCACAGTCTTCTCCACTTTGGTCATTGGGTTCCCCTGTTTTCCAATTCCTAAACAAAAAGTATGATCAAGTTATTCCAGGAGAAGTTCAGGAAGAGGACTTATTTCACTCTAACCACTATCCTCTGCCTTGAACATGCACAGCCAGGTTGTTCCCACTGGACACCAAAGGTGCTTCATCACATGCCTCCAGACTACACCACAGGTAAGCCTCCTTGTCTACATAGCTCGGTGTGTCTCTAATCCATTCCTCATTTCTGCCACTTCCATTCTCCACTTCAAGGCTGGCAAACCTTTGGACTTCCTAATGTACTGGCATGCAACTCCCCTAAACCTTTTTACCCTCCCCATGTTGGCTAACTAAGGCAGATGAAAGTCTTGCATTTTTCATCCTGTTGGAGGTAATGACGCGCGGGGGGGGGAACACATTGAAGATAAATCCATGTATCTGTGGGTGGTGTTGGGAGTAGATCAGTGGACTCAGAATTACTAGTTAAGTTCTTTATTCTTCTTGATCAATCTGACTTCCTTGTGAGATAGACTGATCACTATTTAGGACTTCACGTTCATCCTCCTCCTTTGCCAACTTATCTTCTTACATCTATCTCCTTAGCATGTAGCAAACTAGGGACCAACCTTACTTCCTTACCCCCAGCAGAATTCCTGTCATAAATTCTAATGACTTCTGTTTAACTCTAAGCTGGTTTCTTCACTCCTTAATCAGATCTTTAGGGAGAATCTTATAGTCTGACAATTACTACCTTACCCCTGGGCAGCAGCTACAGGTATTTTCTTTTTATATAGGTATATTTTCAATGAGTAGTTGAACGTACAAGGCATAGGGCCTTGTGGAAAGTTATTAAACACTTTGTCTTATGCATTTGTTTGAATTATATCTCCTCTTCCTCTCCTCTATGCTGTGTCCTGGGGTGGTTACCTGGTCGCAATCTCGTGCAATAGGGTGAGCAGTGCTCTATTTCAATTTAAATTATAGTAATAACAGCTAGAACCCAATGTGGTGGCAAGTGTTGGGCACAGCCCCGGGGGGGCAATAGGCTAGGTTAGGGGTTACAAGGCAAGCTTCAGGGCCTCCCACATTCTCCTTTGTCCTGTTGTTTCTGATCTCCACCCACCAACTATCAGCCAACTAAGGCAACTGCATCATTCTGTCTAATGAGGTGGAGACACTGTGGTATAGCATTAAAAAGTGATCATGGGGATTATGAAGAGACACTGTGACAACAGGAGGCCTTCTGTTTTAAGGAGAAAAAATAACTTTAGGTCTAAAGCATACCTGTCTGGGGTTCCTCTCTGCTCTTGCAAACATAGCTATAGGACAAACGATACTACAGGTCGCATATTCTTTCAGAGAAGTGATTCTGGCATATGCTCATGTCCCTGCAATCAGACTTATCAGGAAAGTATCTCCTGATAGCCAGTCACAAAACAGCAATTTAAATTCATTGCCAACCACAAGGGTGTGGCAAGCATGTGTTGTGACAATTGTCTGCATTCAGCCTTCAGAAAGCTTCCTCTCCTAATGCTACGCTCTCTTTACATTAAAGAGAGCGTAGCATTAGGAGAGGAAGCTTTCTGAAGGCTGAAGTTTGGCCCCACACGTGTTGGTGCTGTGCTTGCTTCGGGATTATCTGTGCTAAATCAAGTGCTCCATATGTTTCCAGTGAGGAGCTCAGCAAGTGGTTCACCATCTTTCCAGGACAACAGGTGTGCCTGGTTGACCCCTGGCAGCCGACAGGGCAAGGCGGGTCCACTGCATGTGACTTTTCTGAATCACAACAACTTTCACTGGCTGGCCTTACTTGAAGCCTTTTGTGTAATTTGTGCCATCAATCCACCTCCAGTCCCCTTCGGTGTTCTCATCACTGAGTCCAATCCAGAAGCGCTGATTCCGCGTTTGGGATTGCAGAAAATTCTATAACCAGAAGTCAAGGAAGGAAATGGGAGAGCGTCAACCTTGACTTTTAACACAACACATTTATGTGAAGAGATTGAAGAATTTGGAAGACATCAAAAACCTTTCTGTGTAGACTTGGCAGCGCACTGGAATCAGTTTAGTTCACCCCTCTGTCTCTTGTGTTCCTCCACCCAGCCAGTTCAAAGGTTTTGAGACCAAGAGGAGTTTATCCCCTGAATTCTATCCTTTGTTTATTTCTTGTTCCTGTTGACCTACCAAATGGCTGTGCCTTTGAATTCAGAAGTGATTGTGTCTTGTGGCCTGAGGTTATGCAGATTAAGACAGCAAGTAAAGGTAGGCTGCTTATTGTTCAAGATCCCGGTGCCAGGATTTCTTTCTTATACTATAAGGGAATCATCAAGGTGGATTAAAAGTAATTAAGGGATGGATCATTAAGGGTATAAAACCACTGAGAAAAGTGTCCACTCTGATCCTTGAGAAAAGAAAGTGTTTCCATGCAGGATTTTCCCCCATTGGAGACTCACGAGGAGACTCTTGGTGATATTACACGTATCTCTTTGTTTGGGTAAACATAATGATCGGATTGTTTAAACTTTCTTATTTTTCTCGTGTATCCTGTCTGTATTCTGTACACTAGTATCCACATTTGTTTGGACTAGGGAACTTGTTTGGCTTTGGGAACTGTTTTATTGTGTTTGCAACATCCTTTTATTTTCAAATAAACTTTACACGTTCTTTTTAGCCATGCCTGATTTTTGATTCTCGGTCTAGCTACTGAATGGGTGAGAAGTGATATCTATGGGACTTGGCGGAGAAACCCTATGGCACCCATTGCCCGAGGGGCAGAGGATTGGGACAAATGTTGATGGTCAGTGGCAGAGTACCAAAGTGATATTGACATTTGGGGGGGGGATATTTTGAACATTGTCCTTGCCTTGGGATTATTGAATCCTGGTCCCAACTATGTTCACATAGTCCCAGAACAGGGGTAGTCCTCATCCCCCACCCCAAAATCCAAATCCATATACTTGCTCTGTGCCCTCATTAATCTGGAAGATTTACTATTTTCTCATTCCATTGACATGTCAACTAACATAAATTTGAGCAGCTTTTATCCAGTGGTCCCCAACTGTTTTGACACCAGGGACTGGTTTAGTTGAAGACCATTCTTCCAAGGACTGCAGGGAGGGGTACTCGTTATGCAGTAGGTTGTTGGAAGATAGCTTTGAATCAAGCTCATAAAGAAAATGGCGAGCAGGAACAGGAGGGGAGCTGCAATGTCAGATCAGCAGCAGCATTAGAACCACTGGGTGTCAGAGAGTCATGGAGTCACAGATGCCCACATGGTCTCCAAGGGTCTGCCTTCTGCATTTTCTCCCATGTTTGGCTCTTACTGATCTATCATTCTATGTGAAGTAAAGTATATACACTGAGGGTCTCTCCATGTCTGAATTATAGAAATCAGTCATGATAGGTTGCTTCTCAAGGTGGAAACATGTGAGAGATCAGAGTTATTATCACAAACTGAACCACCTAAAGAGATAAAGGTAAATTTTATCTCTTCCTAACATGAGGTTTTGCAGCTTTGCTAGCTCCAACTTAGCTGGTTGTTGTGCATTTTTCAGGCTCTTTGGCTGTGTTCTGAAGGTTGTTCTTCCTAACGTTTCACCAGTCTCCGTGGCCGGCATCTTCAGAGGACAGCACAGAGACTGGCGAAACGTTAGGAAGAACAACCTTCAGAACACAGCCAAAGAGCCCGAAAAACGCACAACAACCATTAGATCGTGGCCATGAAAGCCTTCGCAAATATACGTATCCAAATTAGCTCTTTGTCTGTTTGGGGACGGTTCCACCCCAATGTTGCTTTTGGGGAGTAGGAAGAGGCCGTTCGGGGGATCTTACAATGTTTACAAATGAGGTAAAATGTAGGTACAAAAATTACATCCCCATTAAAGGATGTGATTGGTGGAAAAAATTCTTTCTTTCATTTTTTTGTTCTTCCATAGGTGGCTCTTTCATTTTTTTTACGTGTGGTCCTTTTGTTTCATATATGAGAGAAAGATGGTTTTTTTATGGGGGGGAGAAGAAAAAGAAACAATCAATTGAGCCCAAAAGGGGCCATAATACAAGCAACAATTACAATCAGCTACACATCCCCAGTGGCACACACTCACAGTCATAACATCCGTCTCCCTGGCCCAGAGATCCACACAGAAGCAAACAGTCTCCCCAAAAGCCCCTCCAAAAATATACCTTATGCAGAGTAAATTGACCAAAGAACAATTTCTAAAAATCTTAGAAACAGAGAAAGCACACCCTCTAACACATCATTTGTGTTTTAGAGGCTCTTTTTAAGCAGCCAGTGAAAGAACATAACAATGAAAAAGAGTCTCTTTCATGTCTTGTTTTTCTTTTCTTAAAAGACAAAAACCCCATACCAGATCCCCACCCATGTACTTATATGTCTAGCATCTCTACCTGCTTGGCCTGATCGTGAATGACCACCAGCATTGAATTCTTTTCCTCACAGTGAGACTTAGCTGTGTGCCACGTAGCATCCTCGATAGAGAAGAAGTAGCATCTTTCATCATAGTATTCCCATTCCCTGCTTCTGGATCCACAGGGGAACACTGGCAAAAGAGGAAAGGTTGAGAATAAAAATGCTGATACAGTACAAGATTCAGCTGCAGGTCAATTGCATCTTTCTGCCCCTTGAAAACTTGCGTGATTTGAGCTCTTGGCCGGAAGGATGTCAAAGTGTTGCATCTGAAAAGATGAAAGTGGACTGCATGGAAAATGCAGAAGCCCAGCTTCATTTTCTGGTGGATGATGAGGTGGTCTTGAGTGAGAACATAACTGAGCATCATGAATGTTACAGAAGTAGCATCTTCTTCTAGTTTTTCTGAAAAACTAGAAGAGATGAATTCATTCTCAAAATATTTACTCTCAACAGGTTGTTCAATACTGACTGAGCAGAGCATGGAAAAAGCTGCTGTTGTATTTTGTTCATTTGTTTTGTCTTTGTATTTCATTTCCCAGAACCTCTGGCAGTTAGAGTCCAAAACATGACTTTTCTGAGCTTAGATTCTGGATGATAGCTGTCTTCCAGTTGCTCAGGCTAAAGGCTTTCCCAGCTCAGCTAATCCAAATGCATTTCACTGGCAATGAGAGGAACTAATTATGGGACAGATTGTATAATGTGCTCTGCCACTGATCCCTGGTTTCTCCACATTTTCTTTTGAAAAGCTACAAATCAAGTACAAAACACACGGGAACATCTGCTGACTTGGAGCTCCCAGAGGTAGTGAATGTGCCCTGAGTGTTAGTCCGAAGTTTACAAAAGCTCTTCAAGGTCTGAAACTTATCTCCAAAATAGAAGATTCACACACACACACAGACACAGACACAGACACAGACACAGACACAGACACACACACACACACACACACACACGCACACACACACACAACCTGAAGTCCCCAGCCACCTTGACTTTAACTTACAAGGAAAGTTAACCTTCCTCTTGGAAGACAGAGACTTTCATAGGGATGTCTTGCCTTCTAAGCACTGAAAGCAGTGCTTCCTATGGATCTAGGTGGTTTCTGAATGATGTGTCTGGGCAGGGGATTCTCAAACGTTGGACTCAAATTCCTGTCCCCTGTCAGTCCATTGGATTGACTTTGGAGGGAAAATTCTAGTACTATTTCTTCCCCAGGGAGGTGGTCCAAAAGCCAGAGTGTGATTTGGAGAGATACTTACGTTCTTTGCTCCTTTGAAGCTCTTTGTGCAACTTGGTCACTTGCGATGGAAGCCTCTGTTCTAAATGGCAAGAGGAAATACAAACACACACAATATTATAGGAACACAAGCAACCAAAAGGCCATCCAGAAATTTCAAAGAGACCCTCCATGGAGGCTTCCAGACAGAAGGACATTACAGCCAAAGGCAAAGACAATGTGCAGCAGAATGTTCCCCCCCCCCCCAACATAACAAATTTTTATGGGTATGGGAAGAAGACCTGGTGGGATAAGCATAGGAGGACTACAAATGGAAGGTGTTGTGTTTGGGCCTCCTGTTAAATTCTGTGGGCGAGACAGTTTGATCACTTCTTCTGAGAGGCACCCATCTTCTCTCACTGTATTGTCATCAACTCAAAACAACCCTCTCTCCACCACATTGGCCTGGGATCAGCTCTGTTAAAAGCCGAGTACTATTTAGGATCATGCACATTTAATGAATATCACTAGGTACTCAGACATCCTTCTAGTCTTCTGTTTTCTGTATGATTGTAAAATGGTTGACAAGCATATTGCCCAGAGTCATAGAATCATTGAATAATGGAATGGGAAAGGGCCTATAAGGCCATTGAGTCCAATTCCATGCTCAGTGCAGGAGTCCAAATCAAAGCAGACCTGACAGATGGTTGTCCAATTTTCTCTTGAATGCCTCCAGCACTGGAATGCTCACCACCTCCCAAGGTAACTAGTTCCATTGTCATCCTGCCCTAATACCTAAGAGGTTTGTCCTGATATTTACCCTAAATCTGGCTTCCTGTAGCTTGAGCCTATTATTATGTGCTCCACACTATGGCATGATTGAAAACAGATCCTGGCCCTCCACAGTATGACTTCCTTTCACGTATTCTGTGCTCAATACCTTTTGAAAGCAGGTTGGACATGGCCTTTCATTGTCTTGATGGTTCCATGGGTCACCTTCTTCTACTATTTGTTGACACTGCTTCTTTTGATTGCAGGGCTTAAGAGATATGTTTTGCACACAAAGGCAGGGCTGGCCCTAACTATTATGCTGCCCGAAGCCAGAGATATAGAATGCTGCTTTTTTGGGTCTACAGTTGCCAGAATCCCACATCATCCATAAGAATGCACATTCACCTAAGCAAGCTCTCTCTTCTGGTGCTTAGCTGCTGCTCCCCAAAGCACAGGTCCCTTTTCAGGTCTGCAGAGTGATAAGGCTAACTGTGCATGTATGCCCACTTCTTGCCCCATAGAAACTCTGTCACATTGGGAGGGATCCTCCTGGCACCCTTCTGAAAGGCTGGCCTTCGAAGTGCCCTTTGACCACAAGTAGCAATTCCAATGATCACGTAGTCAGCTAGAAAGGAAAGGAAAGGAAAGGAAGGGAGGCAGGCAGGCAGGCAGAGAGACAAGCAAGCAAGCAAGCAAGCAAGCAAGCAAGCAAGCAAGCAAGCAAGCAAGCAAGCAAGCAAGAAAGCAAGCAAGCAAGAAAGCAAGCAAGCAAGCAAGCAAGCAAGCAAGCAAGAAAGAAAGAAAGAAAGAAAGAAAGAAAGAAAGAAAGAAAGAAAGAAAGAAAGAAAGAAAGAAAGAAAGAAAGAAAGAAAGAGAAAAGGTTGCAATTTCTGGAAGAAAGGATGGAGCCACAGAGATAATCAAATCTGGCTTGTTCTCAACATCTTCCTTAGTTTGATTAACCACAAATAGCTTTTTGCATGGGCACTCCACCTGTCAAAGATACCACAGCCCCCAAATGAGGCCGCCTTGAAGTCCCACATCACATCTCCTCTACCAACTATTCCCTTTCTTTCCTAGGAGGAATAAGAAGCCTGGCCATTTTTCCCCCTAGCTCTGAGGCACACTGGGAATGGCTTAAAGCACTGGTTCCCAACCTTGGGCAACACAAGGTGCTCTTGGACCAAGACCCCCTGAAGCCTTCAACTACTAGTGGTGCTGCTCCCCAGTTTTCTGGGAGTTGTGATCTAGGAACACCTGGGCTATCCGAGATTGGAAACCAATGGCTGAACGGATTTGTTATGTAGGGCCAATGCGTGTGATGTATCAAACTGTCTAGCTTGCCAGATGTTGTATCAGCAAGAACTCTTCCAGGCTAGAATTGTTGACTGTGGTTCTGCTGCCACCTTCTGGGCCAAAAAGTCTGCTTGTTGCTTCCCTCCTTTGAAATTAAATCCTTAAATAATAAATTATGTGTCATCAAATCAAATCTCCTTTACATAAACCAGTCCCAGGGTTTTCTAGGCAAAGAGTCCTTAGAATGTTAGCGGTGGTGCTCAGGGATCGTATGGTTTGCCCAAGGCTGCACAGGCGGAATGGTTTGTAACTCCATCAGCCTCAAAGCTTCAGGAAATCTCACCTGGCCCTAGTCCATAGAGACAGAGTTGGGGATTGAACACTCAGTGCTGGATAGCTGCTCCAAACTACAGAGCTACACTCACTTGTAAGGTGCCTTATATTGGGCCAATTTTAGTTGGAGAAAAAATACGTAAGGCGGTTGTGCAGCATTTCCCCCTTCTGATCAGCTCCCCTTTGTCCATTTAGGTACACAACCATCCATGAGCTCAGTTTCACAACCATAGTGCCATTGGACATAAGACAAAGGGATTGCCAGAGGGAAGGAAAAACGTGTGATCACTCTGAGGAAAACTCCTAAGGAAGCAGGATCATGGCCACTGAGTGAGACGACTGATTCAGTTAGGTGGATACCCTCTACCCTGAGCATGACAGTGGATCCCCAGGGTTTCACAGAGGAAGACTGTCCTTGCCTTACTGAGAAAATTGAATCATTAATCGGGAGAATTTCTGCATATCAGCTATGTATATTTGTGTGTCTTTTCACACAAAGATGGCGATGAGACCATTGCTCAATCACAGAGCATATCCCTTATACAGTATTGTGGGAGACTGCTATAAGCAAGGCTTGGGAAGAAACACATTCACCGTTCCCTTCTTCTCTTGGTGCTCTATGGTTGTATAGCTTGCCCAGGGATACACAGGCTGGCTCATCTCCTGGGAGGCTCCACAGCCAGGTACTCACTGAGCTATCCGACCATCCACTTTGTAATTATTGTAGTTGTGAACTCATCCACATGATTCTGGCGGTCCTTCCTGAGCTTTCAAATATGAGAATGTGAGAATGTGACTGAAAGGCAACATTATTTCCGAAGACTAAAAAGTAAATTAATTACCATTGGAGATCACAAGTCCAAACAGTATGATGATGAGCAGGTATGAGAGAGCTAGCAGCAGATAAATCACAAGCGGTTTTTGCTTGATTAGTGATGTGTACCTGTCTTTCAAAAGAGAGAAGAAAGAGGTCACATTTTGTATGGAAAGTATCTCCATTCCTTGAATACAAATATAAACAGTAAGCCTGCCCATATACTTAGTGCTTAACATTACTTTATGATAGCTTGTCTTATGTAGGCTTTACATAGCAGCAGATACCATAAAGTGACTTGAGTTATATTGCATCATATACATTGAAATATACAGTATTTTACATTATAGTATGCATTACATGCTATAAATATTCACCATACAATGGCATCATATTACTTATCTCAAATACATGGTGAGCAGTATAATCCCATCATTTTTATTTAGTTTTAAACTTCAAAGCAGTGAAGGATTTGCACTTCCTCTAATAAATTTGCAATAATACTAATGTGTTTGGGTGTGTCTGTCTATCAATCTATGTCATAATTTCATCATGGTTAAGCCTAATCATAGGAACCTTGGTGTGTATTCTAAGGGGACCACGAAGGTATAAATCTCAGGATTATTTTGGGTTTTTTTTTGAATGGATTGATTCCATTTGAATCAAGTACAAATTGTCTGTAACCTGCAGCATTCAGTTTAATTCAATTTAATGTAGGGTCAATGAAATACCCTGGTGACATAGCTATCTTCAGTCGTGGTGTCACACCTATGCATGTATATGATTGTAGTTGCCACCACATATTGCACCATGCCAGAAATGGCACCGCAATGAGCTGTGTGCCTCCAGGCATGAGCTCAGAAAATACACAAGTGGGATTTCTACAGGTGCAGTACAACCAGTAGACACAAGTAGTAAGGTGGCACTCGCTTGGTTCATAGGGCATAAAAGCAATGTTCTCCTCAAAGGTAGGGCACTTTGAGGTTTGAGTCCAAATACTTGCAGCTGTTATGGGACTGGGTTAGAATCAACCTACCTATTTAAGTCTTACTTGCAGTCTATGTCTGGAGAATGAAACAGACCAAGAAGCAAACAATACTGGGGTGGAAGAAGGGAGAGAAAGAGGAATATAATAATACAGAGGGGTGTAAAAAAGCAGACTTTGTCCCTTAGTTTTGTCCCTGGGTACTTTCACTGGTAAATATATCTATACAAATACCTTCCAGGCAAAGATGCTTTTAGTTGGAAGCAGAAGTCCACCTGAAATGGAGAGCTTCCTCCACCAACATGGAGAGGAGGCCACCTATTATGTGAGCTGTACTCTAGATGAGCTGCATTTAGCTGTTCATCATCACAACAATTGTGATGCAATTGTGATGTAAGAAATGGTGCACAAATGTGCTTATTTTCCTTTCCTCCACACGCCATTTTGTTTGTGTGTGGGGGGGGTTATTGTGCAGTTTCGTTCAATGGTAAGCCTGTGAGAGACTTTTCCCTGTCTTTAATCTTCCTGTTGTATAAGTGGATGCCTATTTATAAACGATAATGGTCATAATGCATGATGGTAAGCAGGAGCTATGACAGAACATGGTGAAGTGTGCATCTTTGCGAAAAGGGGCCATAAGAGGTTCAAGGATGCTGAGCAACATGGCTGGCCCCAGGCCTTTTGCTTCCTGAGGGGAAGGACAAAGTGGAACCCTGAGTCCGTTTGGATGGCCTGCACTCTGTATCTTCCTCTTTCACTAGTGAGATGTGGATCTGAGAGGATTGCTTTTGAGAAGGAATTAGTTACCCTTCCAAACGAGACTTTCTGGAAATGTGCATTACCTGCTCCTAGCAGGTGTGTGGTTTTCCCTCAAAATGTGATTTCTGAAGATATACAAGGATGGGTGATCGAATGTCTAAATGAAACTCATGTTTTCTTTCCACTGACTAAATAATCAAAGAATGCTTGGTGGAAGATAAGAGATGTAACTAAGTGGAAGCATGAACTACAACAAAAGGGGAAACTCCTAGAAACAGGCCAATGTGCTAATGTGTTGTCTGATCACATCTTCAGCTACTGCAGAAAAAAAAAGGAGCTGGTTCCTCAGACAACGTTCTCCTGCTGCCTGTTCTTCAGCTGGACCATGAGCAGTTGTCACTATTTTGAGTAACTCTGGGCATTAATCATTACTTCTTGGCATTATTAGCCTCACTGATCACACCAATGACCAGCAGGCCAGTAAAATGCAAGGGAAAATGCTTTGATTCCCTGCAGTGGCTAATGCTGATAGTGGACCTTGCAACTACTGTATCTGCTAAAACACACATGACAATGACTGAAATCCTGTTGTGCAGTTAAGCAAGTGGTGTAACATTTAGATGCAAATGGCTGTAAGTTAATAAATCTTCATAGGCATTATCTGTTGCACACTGAATTTTGTGACTCAGCATACAACACGTGTTGTCTACAGAAACGTCTTAAAGCAATTTGCTTCCAAAGTTTTGCCGTTTCCATGACTGTGCAACACAATATCAGTCAAAGGCTATGTCCCTTGCCATCTGGGATTGGTTACATGAACTGTGAAAAATCTGTCAAAATGCCTCTAAAAATGTGCCTTAAAGTTAAATTTTGAAAGTAATGAATGTTACTTATTGCACCTAAATGTACTTTTGTAACTATCTGGTACATTACTTCTACTGTAGAACATCTTGTAACGTTGATTATAACTAAAAAGTAACTAGTTCCGGTAACTACATTGCACAGTAACTAGTTACTTTTGTCTCCAGTAATCACCACCATGGTAGCTGCCTCACTCTGTTTAATTGTTAAACAGTTCTCCAGTTCTTCAAAACAGAATGCACCTGTCTGTTTTTAAACCAGCCTTTTCAAAACAGGTAAGGGATTTTGAGGCAGGAGGGAAAGGGCAGAGCACATTACCAGTTAGTACAAAGTGCTCAGCAGTGATTGCCCTCCAGAATTTCAGGAAATTCTGTGGTTTGAGGATCCAAGGAGACATTTCATTCCAGCCACACATAAGGGAGGAATTGCTTTCATATGCAATCTAGCTATAAGTAAATGCAGAATTCATGTTCTATCCCTATTCTGCCATAGTAACAGCTTCTATATGGGATTATTTCACAGTCAATTAGAATAGCCAAGGACCAGCTGGGTTATATTTATGGCACACATTTTGTTGCATCTTAGGACTCGACCACTCAACATTTTACCCTGGGTTGACAAGAACATTTCTGTTCTGTACCCTGGCATTTAAATCTTTCATGTTCAGTTGTCATTGGAAAGTCTTTTTCAAGTGTCTACTCATCAGACACACTGTTTCTCTCTCACCCCTCTTTGCCATCATCACAACCACCCTTTTGTCCACCCTTTTCATTGGTATTCAAACCCATCCTTTTGTTTAGCAATTTAAATAGCACTTAACTGACAAGACATGTTAAGGATTTGAATTAGTGCTGTATCTTTTTAGGCTGTAACATCTAAATAGCTAGTGCTATAACGCTAACCTAGAATAATTTTTTTTTAAAAAATACAGTTTACAAATTGCAGTGCAGCCTTTACCAGTGTGAGCAGAAAGCAGGCAAAGGGAATGGCATCCATTCCCACACCACACCTCTGTTTGTATATCACTAGTGATGTCATGTGAATATGCTGAAGAAAGGCCCTAAAGCAGTGGTTCCCAATTCTGGGTCCCCAGATCTTCTTGGACTACAACTCTCAGAAATCCTGGCCAGCACAGCCGGTGGTGAAGGCTTCTTGGTGTTGCAGTCCAAGAATGTCTCGGAACCCAAGGCTGGGTAAAACCACTGCTAAAAGATCATTATGAGCAATCACAAAAACAAAAACAAAAACAAAATGTGAATGGAAACACTACTCCAAAACACACACACACACACAAAAGCCTTGCTGGCTAAACAAGATATACTGTCTACTCTCACCAAAATATTGAATGTACTAACCATTAGTACCAACATTATATAGTTCAACAGAATAAATATTAAAGGGAAGAGGGAGAAACAGAGCATAGACAGCAGGACAAATGCTCTCCTAGATGCTCCCCAGCAGCCATCATTTTTTACCAAAAAAACTTGCCAGGAGAGGAGATTGGGACCTTAAGCGCCTTGAGGATAAGTTACTTTTTCCCTCCCTTGCTGTAGTCCTGATGAAAAATGCTTCACCCCATTCCGAAAACTTCCCCTTCTCCCTAACAGACAGAGCACTTGCACATTTAATTTTCTGGTTTTCAGTTACTGTAGTGACACATGAGGAGAGAATAGAGCTGGAAAGGAGACAGAAATAACTTACCTCAATCATGTAGCTTGGAGTATTTCTGAAAGATTTTTTTATAATAACAGTAAATGCTGTACTACTATTAACAATTAAAATTTAAAATGCAAAACTGTCCTGACTATTTGGGAGAAGTTTTCAGAACTCAGCCCTGGAGAGGAAAGTTACTTTTGCATTGAATACAGACTAGACCTGCCATGCTACAAATACAGAACCTTCATCCCTAGAATGAGCCATGTCTTTCTCTGGCATACTGTATTTACCTCGTGTTTCGAAGGCCATGACTTTTCCTGTCTCAAGTTGTACTTTGTCTGTATCTCTCTGGTCTTCATAAACCGCATCCATCAGAACCACAGATCTCTCCTGTTCAAGTTCCTGTTCCTGATGGGTTTATAACACACCCTGCAAATTGGGGAACCTTATCCAGGAAATGTGACACACGAGTCCCTGTTTCTGAGAAAGAGAAAGTCCTGGAGTTCAGATAGTATGTTCTTCTCAATCTTTGAGAGCATGAATATCATAGAATCATAGAATAATGGAGTTGGAAGGGGCCTATAAGGCTGTCGAACATAATGGAGTTGGAAGGGGGCCTATAAGGCTGTCGAATCTAACTTGCCTGCTCAGGCAGGAATCCAGATCAAAGCAGATCAGATATGAACTTTAAGAGCAGATGCCACATGAATTTCATCCCCCCCCTTCTTCCAGCAATGGTTTCATTGTGGAAACTCTTCGCTATCATGAGCTTCCCTCTCTCTGTATTTGGCAGATTAACTTGCTTGTCTGTTGTAATTAATCTGTCAATACAGTGGTTCCCAACCATGGGTAACCCAGGTATACATGGACTGCAATTCCCAGAAGCCTTCACTTCCAGCTGTGCTGGGAAGGGTTTCTGGAAGCTGCAGTGCAAGAACACCTGGTTTACCCAAATTTAGGGACCACTGCACTAGTAGACAGCTCAAACTTGTTTGCATGGCTGATATCCAGGCAGGTTGAAAGAGCTGTATATAAGTCCAATAAATAAATAAATAAATAAACACCAGGTTTACCCAAGTTTGGGGACCACTGCACTAGTAGACAGCACAAACCTGTTTGCATGGCTGATATCCAGGCAGGTAATACTGAAAGAGCTGCATGCCCAGAGAAACCATATTCTTGGAAAAGAGAATATGCATTTCTCTTTCTCTTAAAGAGAACAAAAGAAAAAAGTGCCTTTGTTGTTGGGTGGAATTGCAGTTGCAGGGCTAGTTTGCCTTTGGTTTAGAAATAGCATGCAGTATGTGCAGCAAAGTCTGCTAAAGAGTAGCATTGAATGATTATGGCACAAGGGTCTCCTAGAGAGGACTGGAGAAAGCTTACAAGTGTTTTTTCATCCATCCTACCGGTGCTCAGGAGAGAAATCAAAAGAGAAAGGAATATCCAGTGGGTGAATGACTGGTTATGAAGTTGGTGTCGATGAGAGGGATTTGTTATTTGGGACCACAGACTAAGGTTCCTGGAAGAAGGACTGCTAGGAAGAGATGGTTTGCATCTAACAAGGACTGGGAAGAATGTGTTTGGCCACAGCATAAAGAACATCATCAGGAGGGCTTTAAACCGAATTGGAAGGGGGAGGGAGACACAAGCACAAAGCTAAGGGTAGAGGAAGCCTTACACACAATAAGAGGAATGGACCAAACTGATCAAAAGGGCAACATTAACAATAAGAATCACAATAATAAACATAACAGTCATCATCATAATAATAATCATAATATTTATAAAAATGTACAAAGACAAGCCACAAATCACACACCCTCTGGTGTCTGTATACGAATGCCAGGAGTATGGGAAACAAACAAGAAGAACTCAGGAGGGTATGGTAAAGGTAAAGGTAAAGGTTCCCCTTGACAATTTTTGTCCAGTCGTGTTTGACTCTAGGGGGCGGTGCTCATCCCCGTTTCCAAGCCATAGAGCCAGCATTTGTCCGAAGACAATCTTCCGTGGTCACATGGCCAGTGCGACTTAGACACGGAACGCTGTTACCTTCCCACCGAGGTGGTCCCTATTTATCTACTTGCATTTGCATGCTTTCGAACCACTAGGTTGGCGGGAGCTGGGACAAGCGACGGGCGCTCACTCCGTTGCGTGGATTCGATCTTACGACTGCTTGGTCTTCTGACCCTGCAGCACAGGCTTCTGCGGTTTAGCCCGCAGCGCCACCACGGTATGGTATGACTTGATAGGAATAAGTGAAACTTGGTGGGATGACTCCCATGACTGGAATACAGCAACTGAGGGATATAAACTGATCAAAAAGAACAGAGAGAATAAAAAGAGAGGCGGAGTGGCAGCATGTGTCAAAAATACATATTCCTGCACAGAAATGCAGCAGGAGGAGATTGGCTGTCCCATCACGAGCATCTGGATCAATCTAGTTGGGGCAAAAAAACAAAAGGAACTTCGTAGCTGGAGTCTACTACCAACCACCCTATCAAAGACAGGAAGCGGATGAAACTTTTGAAAAACAAATTACAGGGTTTTCAAAGAGACATGATATAGTAGTGATGGGAGATTTCAATTATCCAAATATATGTTGGGAGGCAAATTCTGCCAAGTATGCCCCTTCCAAGAAATTCCTGGCTTGTGTGGCTGATAATTTTCTCCTACAAAAAGTGGAGTAAGAAACTAGAGAGTTTGCTATCTCTCTACAAAAAGTGGAGGAAGAAACTAGAGAGTTTGCTATCTTTGACTCGATTCTGACCAACAGAGATGGTGGGGGAAGTGGCAGTAAGGGGAACTCTAGGCAAGAGTGACCATGTCCTTCTAGAATTCTTGATTTCAAAGGAAATGAAAGCAGAGTGTAACCACATACTTCTGTTGGATTTTAAAGAAGCCAGTTTTAATAATCTCAGAACAAGGATAAGTAAGGTCCCATGGCAGGAGATCCTAACAAGAAAAGGAGTCTAAGAAGGATGGGAGCTTCTGAAAAAAGAAATAATTCTGAAGGCACAACTACAAACAATTCCAACAAGGAAAAAAAAGTGGGACGCAGCAAAAAAGGCCAGCATGGCCTCGCAAAAAGCTCAGGGAGGATCTAAACCCCAAAAAAGAAATGTACGGGAAGTGGAAAGAAGACCAGGCCACCAAGGATAGATACAGACAAGTAGTAAGGAAATGCAGGAATGGCATTAGGAAGGCAAAAGCTGAGAATGAGCTGAGGTTAGCTAGAGACACAAAAAGCCATAAAAAAGCATTCTTCAGGTATGTGAGTAGCAAAAGACAAACAAAAGACATAGTGGCACAGCTCCACAATGGAGATGGAAAAGTGATAACAGAGGACAAAGAAAAGGCAGAGGTGCTCAATTCCTATTATAGTTCCATCTTTTCCCATAAGACAAACTATGAACTTCAAAACAAATTGGAAGTGCAAGTGGATGGGAAGAGCGCCTTCTTACACTCAGCTCTACCTGTATCACCCGCTTGTCAGGCCAGGTGGCTGAGGAGCCTAACGCCAAGAGAGGTCCGGTGGGAAAAAACTAGAAATCGGACCTTCTTGGCAGTGGCCTCTCGCCTATGGAACAACTTACCTGTAGAGATCTGCCTGGCTCCCTCACTGATGGCCTTCAAGACTAGCTTGAAGACATGGCTATACAGGCAGGCCTTCTCTATAGCCATTGCCTAGCCTTGCCTAGCCTATTTTCCTTTTCTCTCCCCCCTCTCTTTCTTGTCTTTCTTCTTTTTTCCGTTCCCCATCTTGGACTTTGTGATTAATTTGGATTTTAACCTAATTTATTTTTATGTTATATGTAAACCGCCCAGAGTAGACACATGCTAGATGCGTGGTATATAAATCTAATAAATAAATAAATAATAAATCTCCAGGGGTGGATGAACTGCATCTGAGAGTACTCAAGGAATTGGCTGAAGATCTCTCAGAAGCACTATCCATTATTTTCTTGAAATCATGGGACATGGGTGAGGTGCCATATGATTGGAAGGGGGCTAATGTTGTTTCTGTCCAAAAAGGACAGAAAAGAGGAACTTAGGAACTACAGGCCAGTTAGCTTGACATCAATCCCAGGCAAAATTCTGGAACAAATTATAAAACAGACACTATGCAAGCACCTAGAAGACAATGCAGCAATAACTGGAAGCCAACACAGATCTGTCAAGAACAAATCATGCTAGACTAATCTGATCTCATTTTTTGATCAGGTAACCTCCCTGATAGACAGAGGGAATGCTGTAGACATTGTATATCTTTACTTCAGCAAAGCTCTTGACAAAGTGCCCCATGATACTCTGATTAGCAAGCTAACTAGGTGTGGGCTGGACAGATCAAGTGTCAGGTCGATACACAATTGGCTACAGAATCGTATTCAGAGGGTGATGATTAATGAGTCCTTCTCTAATTGGGAGGAGGTAACATGTGGGGTACCCCAAGGCTCAGTCCTAGGCCTGGTGCTCTTTAATATTTTTATTAATGACTTGGATGAGGAAGTGCTAGGAATGCTTGTCAAATTTGCAGATGATATCAAATTGGGGAGAATAACGAATACTCTAGAAGACAGAAATAAAATTTGCCTTGATAGGATGGAGCACTGGGCCAAAAACACCAGAATGAAATTCAGAAGGGATGGGGGCAAAGTACTGCACCTCAGAAAAAGAAACCAATTGCACAGTTACAGGATGGGGGATACCTGGCTCTGTAAAACAATGAATGAGAAGGATCTTGGAATTTTCATAGATCACAAGCTAAATATGAGCCAACAGTGTGATGTGGCTACAAAAAAGTCAAATGCTATTTTAGGCTGCATTAATAGAAGTATAGTTTCCAAATCCCGCAAGGTGCTATTCCCCCTCTATTTAGTACTGGTCAGGCCTCACCTTGAGTATTGTATCCACTTCTGGACACCACACTTCAAGAAGGGTGTTAACAAATTGAAACAAGTTCAGAGGAGGGCAACAAGGATGATCAGGGGGCTGGAAAACAAGCCTTATGAGGAAAGGCTGAAAAAATTGGGCATGTTTAGCCTTGAGAAAAGAAGGCTGAGGGGTGATATGATAGCACTTGTCAAATATTTGAAAGGCTGTCATACAGAGGAGGGGCAAGATCTGTTCTCAATTATCCCAGAGTGCATGACACACAGCAATGGGCTCAAGTGAAAGGAAGCCAGATATCGGTTGAATATCAGGAAAATCATTGCCAGATATCAGCTGAATATCAGGAAAAACATTAGAACTGTTAGAGCAGTACAACAGTGGAACCAGTTACCTCAGGAGCTGGTGAGTGCTCCAACACTGGAGGCATTCAAGAAAAACTTGGATAATCACCTGGCAAATATGCTTTGATTTTATTCCTGCACTGAGCAGGGGGTTGGACTTGATGGCCTTATAGGCCCCTT